TTTTTTTTTTCAATAATTTGGGTGTCTTGCAAGGATTAATTTGATTTCCATTATTTCTTATGGGGAAAATTAATTCGGCTAACGATAAAATCGGTTAAGGACAAGCTCTCTGGAATGGATTAAAATCGTTACCCGAGGGTCCACTGTACAGTGGACCCTCGACCAACAATATTAATCCGTTCCTGAGAGCTCATCGTTAATCGAAATTATAGCTAGTCGAGTTAATTTTCCCCATAAGAAATAATGGAAATCAAATTAATCCGTGCAAGACACCCAAAAGTATTGAAAAAAAAAATTTTATCACATGAAATATTAATTTTAATGCACACAAACTGAAGTGTGTGTGTCATGTACAATTACATGACACTTACCTTTATTGAAGATCTGGTGATGATTGATGGGATGGGAGGAGGGGAGACTGTGGATGGTGTTAGTGTTTAGAAGGAGAATCCCCTTCCATTAGGACTTGAGGTGGCAAGTCCTTTTCCGGGGTTACTTCCCTTCTTTTAATGCCACTAGGACCAGCTTGAGAGTCACTGGACCTCTGTCGCACAACATATCTGTCCATAGAGGCCTGTACCTCCTGTTCCTTTATGACATTCCTAAAGTGTTTCACAACATTGTCAGTGTCACAATTAAACACTAATTCAGGTTTCAATTCTTCACTGTCTATGTACTCCTTGAATTCCTGCACATATTTTTCAGCTGCTTTTTGGTCCAAACTGGCAGCCTCACCATGCCTTATCACACTATGTCTGCCACTACGATTCTTAAATCTCTCAAACCAACCTTTGCTGGCCTTAAATTCACTCATATCACCACCAATTGCAGCCATTTTTCTAATTAAATCCTCATGCAACTTCCTAGCCTTTTCACATATGATCGCTTGAGAGATGCTATCTCCTGCTATCTGTTTTTCATTTATCCACACCAGTAACAGTCTCTCAACATCTTCTATCACTTGCGATCTCAGTTTCGAAAACATAGTTGCACCTTTGGCAAGAACAGCTTCCTTGATTGCCGTTTTCTTGGCCACAATAGTAGCGATGGTTGATTGGGGTTTTGTGTACAACCTGGCCAGCTCGGAGACAAACACTCCACTTTCATACTTAGCAATGATCTCTTTCTTCATATCCATAGTAATTCTCACCATTTTTGCTGTAGGGCTGGCACTAGAAGCTTTCTTGGGGCCCATGGTGACTTATTTTGCAGGTGCAATCGCTAAAAACGCTGTGATAATATGAAATGTTCTGATTGTATGTTTGGATGGGACCGCAGTGGCTGGCTGGCTTGTAAACACTGGCCACAAGTGGACGCATCTCAGATGGAATGAATCGTGTTGGTCGAGTTTTTTAGCACTAGTCGGATTTAACGTTAGACGATGCCATCGTTGGTCGAGGGTCCACTGTACATGCATGTGATCGACCCTCAAAGGGCTAATAATGATAATAATAATGTCCTGTTTAAGGGCAATGTGTGGTGTAAATATTATGCAGAAAATTCGTAGTGTGGAAATTAGGAAAAGGTGTGGAGTTAATAAAAGTATTAGTCAGAGGGCAGAAGAGGGGTTGTTGAGGTGGTTTGGTCATTTAGAGAGAATGGATCAAAGTAGAATGACATGGAAAGCATATAAATCTATAGGGGAAGGAAGGCGGGGTAGGGGTCGTCCTCGAAAGGGTTGGAGAGAGGGGGTAAAGGAGGTTTTGTGGGCTAGGGGCTTGGACTTCCAGCAAGCGTGCGTGAGCGTGCTAGATAGGAGTGAATGGAGACGAATGGTACTTAGGACCTGACGATCTGTTGGAGTGTGAGCAGGGTAATATTTAGTGAAGGGATTCAGGGAAACCGGTTATTTTCATATAGTCGGACTTGAGTCCTGGAAATGGGAAGTACAATGCCTGCACTTTAAAGGAGGGGTTTGGGATATTGGCAGTTTGGAGGGATATGTTGTGTATCTTTATATGTGTATGCTTCTAAACTGTTGTATTCTGAGCACCTCTGCAAAAACAGTGATAATGTGCGAGTGTGGTGAAAGTGTTGAATGATGATGAAAGTATTTTCTTTTTGGGGATTTTTTTTCTTTTTTGGGTCACCCTGCCTCGGTGGGAGACGGCCGACTTGTTGAAAAAAAAAAAAAATAAAAAAATAATAATGCACAATAATAATCACTTAGGGGCATTAAATGCCATATATTATGTTAATACAGTGGAACCTCAGCTTTCGTTTTCCCTGGTTTTTGTCGAATTCGGTTTTTGACAACTTTTTTCGTCAAAATTTTGTCCCGGTCTTCATTCATCCGCTTGGTTTTCATTGAGTTGACAGTGGTCCACCATACCAAACATGACCGCCTGCCCATGCCCACACAAAGCATCCCACACGTTCTAACTCAGTCTGGCTTTGTTTCTCGTTGAATGAGCACTACCCTGCACATTTGTCCAAAACATTTCATAATAATCCATTGTTTTTTGTACTTGTTTATTGAATGCGACTGCTAAATAAGCCACCATGGGGTGAAAGAAAGTTCCAAGCACCAGCCCTTTGATAAAGAATGCAAAAAACACGATAGATAAAAAAAAAGTTGGTGGATGAGGACCACTGAAAAGCTGCAACACCTTCAATTGGAACAGCAACAGACTGCAGCTGAGGAAATTGCTTCAGAGGAGGAGGAAGACAGAGGGAAGAATGTGCCTTCTTCAGCGAATAAGGACATGTGTGCAAAATGGAGTGAATTGCAAAGCTTTGTGGAGAAATATCACCCTAACAAAGCTGTTGCAAGCCTTATCTGCAACATGTTCAATGACAATGCCTTGTCCCATTTTTGGCAAATCTTAGATGGTGAAAGTTTTTCTTTTTCGGGCCACCCTGCCTTGGTGGGAATCGGCCAGTGTGATAATAAAAAAAAAAAAAATATGTATACATGGTAGTGAACTGTATTGTAAATTTTACATCTTATACAGTATCATATGTTACTGTTATCTTTAAGCATTGTCCACACAGTGGAATGGGAGAATACCACTGGTACTGTTATTCTGCCCGGTGGCCTGGTGGCTTAAGCTCCCGCTTCACACACGGAGGGCCCGGGTTCGATTCCCAGCGGGTGGAAACATTTCGACACGTTTCCTTACACCTGTTGTCCTGTTCACCTAGCAATAAATAGGTACCTGGGTGTTAGTCGACTGGTGTGGGTCGCATCCTGGGGGACAAGATTAAGGACCCCAATGGAAATAAGACAGACAGTCCTCGATGATGCACTGACTTTCTTGGGTTATCCTGGGTGGCTAACCCTCCGGGGTTAAAAATCCGAACGAAATCTTATCTTATCTTATGCCCTAAGTAAAGAGAAACAACTCTGGAACATGTGTAATATGTATCCGGCCAGCTGGCTAGCTGGCCTGACTAGCTGAGTATTGTTTCCACTCGTGCCATTGTATTAGGTATGCTTGTTATGTCAATACAGAATCTCTCAATAATGCAAGTGGTATGGATACTCTGGTTTTGCCTAGGATGACTTGTATTTGTAGTATTAAGGGATGGATGTGATATTCTTGATTCTTGGGGTGTATATGACCTATTTTGCTATTTTCCAATGACTTACACTCAAGATATCCCACTTGTTTCTTTTCCATGTTTTTATTTACCTGCTTAGAGTTATTTTTAACATTTGTCTTCTTTGCTTTCATTCATCCCTACATCTCAATTTTTTTGGGGGAGGGGAGGAGGGAGGGGATGGGGAGAGGAATGTTCAGTTTCTCTCATGTAAAACAGTTGGCATTTAAGGTCATAGCACTGGCATTTCTTAAATGAAACTTTACACATCCCTGGGTGACAGAATTTATTCTCTTTCTCAGAGTAACACTTTCCCGTTCCTAGTATATTCCTACACAAGAGTCTGAATACATGTGTCCACCTCGACATGAGCCCTCCCTCCCTCCCTCCATCCTTCCCTAGTTATACTGAACTTGAAATGAGGAAAAAATGCATATGCCTGACCTGTGTCCAGATGTGTGCACAAACTGTGTTGACGAAAAAATAAATGTTTTATTTTCAAAACATTATAAATACAAATAATATTTAGTAAAGCTCATAATATACACAGCATTTCAGGCAATTTAGACTAGGGGTAAAATGAATTTACAATTAAAAGGGCATGTGGATGTTGGGTTCTTTAAGCTCACATGTCTAGAATGGGGTAATGATGGGAAGCAAAATTAATAGTTAAAAAAAAAAAAAAAAACCTGACCAGTGCCAAAATGTGTGTACTGTGCACACGTCTAACATGTGCCCATGGGAAATGTGAAAAACAGTGTATATGACTATGCCCAAGGAGATGCATGTATGAAGTGTGTATGTGACTGACCTGTGCCCGTTGGATGTGAGTACAAACCCCACACGCTAACCTGTGCCCAGGAGACATGGGTAAAAATTGTGCATATAACTCACTTATGCCTAGATGAGAGTATATTGTGCACATGAACGACCTGTGCTCAGGAGGTGTGGGCAGAAACTGCATGACTAACTCATGCAAGGAAGACATGGGTCCAAACTGTGCATATGACTGACCAGTGCTCACAATATATAGGTACAAACTACATGTATAAACATTACAGAACTATGTCCAGAAGAAGTGAGTACAAACTATGAACATACTTAACCTGTGCCCAGGATATACAAGCATAAACAATGTACCTAACTGACCTGTGTCCAGGAAATGTGGGTACAAACTATACAAATGACTGACCTATACCCAGATGGGAGGAGGTTATGAATTATGCATGACTGACTTGTGCCCTGTATATGCAGGTACAAACTGTGTACGTAGCTGACCTGAGCCCAGGAGAAGCAGGAATACACCATGCACACAAGTGACCTGTGTTCAGGGGATGTGGGTGCCAATCATGCACAGGACTAACTTTATCCAGGGGTCCCATACACATGATTACCCTTAACCTAGAGACCCAAACACATGACTGACCTCTATCCAGGGTGCCACACACATGACTCACCTGTGCCCAGGGTATATGGGTGCCAATCCGCAGCATGTTAACAGTGTCAATGAGTCTCTGTGTGGTCTCAGGAGTCCACTTGGCTGGGTGTAATGCTGGGTCTATGAAAGACACCCATCGCTGCATTACCTAAAATAAGATATCAAGTGTTAGTCTTATATACAGTGGTCTCTCGTTTATTGTCGTTAATCTGCTCCTGGAAGTGCGACGATTATCGAAATAGACAATTTTCGAATCAATTTTCCTCATGAGAAATAATGTAAATACAATTAATCCATTCCTGACACCCAGAAGTATTAAAACAAAAAATTTTTTTACATGAAATATAGATGCAGTACATAAACAGTACAATGGAACATGATGAATGAAACATTAACAGCATAACACTTACCTTTATTGGCGATTCTTCTTAGTGTATGGAAGACTGGAGGAGGAGAGAGATTGGATTAGTTACTGTTTGGAAGGGGAATCCCCTTCCATCAACACCTCATGTACCAAGTCCTTTTCTGGGGTTACATACTTCTCTTCTCTGTTTCCTAATGCCACTAGGACCAGCTTGAGAGTCACTGGAGTCCTGTCTAGGAAAAAAAATGTCCAGAGAGCTCTGTTTCTGGTGTCTCTTTAAAACTTCCCTAAAATGGGCCAAGACTCTGTCACTGTACAAGTTGCCGATATGGCTTGCAACATCCTTCTCAGGGTGATGTTTCTCCATAAATCTTTCCATCCTACCCCCACATTTCAAAAATCTCCTTAATTTCTGAAGGAGGCACCTTCTTCCATCTCTCTTCCTCCTCTTCCTCTGCAACAAGATTCTGAGCTGTGATCTGTTGCTATTCCTGCTGAAGCTCTTGCAGCTCCTCAGTGGTTAGCTCTTCGTTGTGGTCTTCCACCAACTCTTCCACATCCTCCAAATTCACATCCAACCCCATGGAACTCCCCAATGCCACAATAGAGTTCACAACTGACAAAGGCTCATCAGGGTCAGCCACAAACCCTTCAAAATCCCTCTTGGACAAAATCTGGCCACAATTTTCTCCAAGCAGAGTTCAAATTCCTGGTAGTCACTCCCTCCCAAGCCTTACCTATAAGGCTTATGCAATGGAGAATACTGAAGTGTTCTTTCCAAAAATCTCTTAGGGTCAAGTGAGTGTCTGAGGTCACATTAAAGCACCTCTGAAACATTGCTTTGGTGTAGTTTTTTTTAAAGTTTGAAATGACCTGCTGGTCCATGGGCTGGAGGAGAGGAGTGGTATTTGGGGGCAAGAACTTTACTGTGATGAACCCAAACTCCTCCAAAATTAGGTCATCCAAGTTTGTAGGACGAGCAGGTGCATTGTCCATTACTAGGAGGCACTTGAGATCTAATTTCTTTTACAAGAGGTAATTCTTCACACTAGGGCCAAACACTCCACTGAACCACTCGACAAAAATTTCCCTCGTGACCCATGCCTTATTATTAGATTTCCAAAACACACACAATTTACTCTTCATAATATTGTTTTTCCTGAACACTCTGGGATTTTCAGAATGGTACACTAGTAATGGCTTCACTTTGAAATCCCCACTAGCATTAGCACAGAACATGAGCGTCAGCCTGTCTTTCATAGGCTTGTGTCCTGGCAGTCCCTTTTTCTCCTGAGTAATGTAGGTCCTCTTTGGCATTTTCTTCCAAAAGAGACCTGTTTCATCACAATTGAACACTTGTTCAGGTTTCAGTCCTTCAGCCTCTATGTACTCCTTGAATTCACTAACGAATTTTGTAGCTGCAATTTTGTCCGAACTGGCAGCCTCACCATGCCTTATCACACTGTGTATGCCACTACGGTTCTTAAATCTCTCAAACCAACCTTTGCTGGCCTTAAATTCACAAATATCAGTACTCGTTGCGGGCAATTTCTTTACCAGACCGTCATGCAACTGCCTAGCCTTTTCACAAATAATGGACGTCATAAGACTATCTCCTGCTAATTGTTTCTCGTTTATCCACACCAATAATAACTTCTCAACATCTACGAGTACTGGTGATCTCATTTTTGTCAGCATATTTACCCCCTTTGCAACAACAGCTTCCTTGATTTTCTTTTTCTTGGCCACGATGGAAGCTATGGTTGTATGGGGTTTGTTATACATCCTGGCCAGTTCGGCCACACGTACCCCACTTTCATATTGTTCAATGATTTTTATTTTATTTATTATCACACTGGCCGATTCCCACCAAGGCAGGGTGGCCCGAAAAAGAAAAACTTTCACCATCATTCACTCCATCACTGTCTTGCCAGAAGGGTGCTTTACACTACAGTTTTTAAACTGCAACATTAACACCCCTCCTTTAGAGTGCAGGCACTGTACTTCCCATCTCCAGGACTCAAGTCCGGCCTGCTGGTTCCCCTGAACCCCCTCATAAATGTTACTTTGCTCACACTCCAACAGCACATCAAGTATTAAAAACCATTTGTCTCCATTCACTCCTATCAAACACGCTCAAGCATGCCTGCTGGAAGTCCAAGCCCCTCGCACACAAAACCTCCTTTACCCCCTCCCTCCAACCTTTCCTAGGCCGACCTCTACCCCGCCTTCCTTCCACTACAGACTGATACACTCTTGAAGTCATTCTGTTTCACTCCATTCTCTCTACATGTCCGAACCACCTCAACAACCCTTCCTCAGCCCTCTGGACAACAGTTTTGGTAATCCCACACCTCCTAACTTCCAAACTACGAATTCTCTGCATTATATTCACACCACACATTGCCCTCAGACATGACATCTCCACTGCCTCCAGACTTCTCCTTGCTGCAACATTCATCACCCATGCTTCACACCCATATAAGAGCATTGGTAAAACTATACTCTCATACATTCCCCTCTTTGCCTCCAAGGACAAAGTTCTTTGTCTCCACAGACTCCTAAGTGCACCACTCACCCTTTTCCCCTCATCAATTCTATGATTCACCTCATCTTTCATAGACCCATCCGCTGACACGTCCACTCCCAAATATCTGAATACATTCACCTCCTCCATACTCTCTCCCTCTAATCTGATATCCAATCTTTCATCACCTAATCTTTTTGTTATCCTCATTACCTTATTCTTTCCTGTATTCACTTTTAATTTTCTTCTTTTGCACACCCTACCAAATTCATCCATCAATCTCTGCAACTTCTCTTCAGAATCTCCCAAGAGCACAGTGTCATCAGCAAAGAGCAACTGTGACAACTCCCACTTTATGTGTGATTCTTTATCTTTTAACTCCACGCCTCTTGCCAAGACCCTCACATTTACTTCTCTTACAGCCCCATCTATAAATATATTAAATGTATTTCTCACCTTCTTTACCAAAGGCTTGGCACTAGGAGCTTTCTTTGGAGCCATGGTAGCTTATTTAGCACTTGCAAGCACTAAAATGAATGGATTATGAAATATTTCGTATGAACTAGTGAGGGGACCGTCGCTCACTGGTAAACAATGGCACACTGGCTGGGAAGGGAGGCGAAGGCGGCTCAGAGCCATGAGTATGCGTCCAGGGCAAATGACGATTAGCGAGTCAACCGACCATTTGCAAGCCATTGTTTGGATGAAAATAACGCGACGATTTCCAAAAAGAACGACTATCGAGCCCGACGATTATCGTGGGACCACTGTATATAAAATCCATATCTTAAGAAAATTGCTCAAAATGCACAATAAAAATCAACAGCAAAAGTAGCTAATAAAAAGAAAAACACTGAAAAGATTCTCTAAATGATGAAGTAAAACCATACTTAACAAAAGGGGTATAGTAAACTATAAAAATAATAATAATGTACTTGAAAATGATGTGATAATTACTGGTTCTTACATGGTCAAAATTTCCAACTCTGTAGCTTCAGTGATTATTGCCCCCACAGCCCACTTTCAAACTAGGCCTCTTAAACTGGGAAGGAAATATTACAGGAATAAGAATAATTAACCCTTTGAGAGTCCATCCTGTAGTTCTACAGCTTGTCCACAGAGTCCAAGAATTTTCAAAAAAAAAATTTTGTTATTTTTCTAATGAAATAGTAGATAGAATCTTTTTCTGGAGGTAATAAAACAAAAAGTACAAAATTTGACGGAAAACTGATGAAATTACGCTATCGCGAATTTTGCTGCATCAGCAATATTTATACATCGGCGATTTTGCCCACTGACTCCTATATTAGGCCAATTACATTATTCCAGTCAACCAAATTCTTAGCTATTTTGCTAGTATCACTTCTATTTTATTGGCTGAGAACAAGAAACCGACCAATCAACTATTTCAATTACCCAATAAAGTGATCAGAAATTGGTAATTTGGCCAATTTCACAAAGTTCAAAATATTCCAAATTCAAAACAGAGTGCAGAATAAACAATTGCAGGCATTCCTGACACTAAAATAATATTTCCTCTGTTTATTAGTTATGTTTCCAGACTTTACACATGAATTCCATTTTGATTTTTTATTCACAAAGAATTTTTATTCACACCGCAAAATAGAAGATTAACTGTTATGCAATATTGTAATAATTGTATAAATAATATCAACACATTCATGAACGTACATCAGACTCACCAGCTGACGTTTATTAGACACGTGACATCATTAATTTACTCTCAAACTTCGGCAAAAATCAAACATTTCTGCTACTTTGAGCTCAATTTCAAGCTATTTTCAGTACTAAAACCAATGAAAATCATCTCTATTTCTGTAATATATCTTCCATTCTATCAAATGAAAGCAAGAATACAACAGTACAACCCATACTGAAATACACTGCAAAGTCAATGTTTTGATCCAAAAACACGGTCACAGTTTCTTTTCTCATAATGCACCGAGTGCTGCAGGATTTATTTTATATGATGCACACTTACCACATAGATGCATTCCATCATATCTAGACCCAAATTTACCACTCACAGCTTATCTGAGTGAGCTGAGCTCATGACATAGTACTCCAGCTTAGACCCCGGCTTCAAAGCTGTAGAACTATGGGACGGACCCTCAAAGGGTTAAGAAATACACAGAAAAACAAATAAGTGTATACTAAATCAAATTTATATTTACCTGCCATCTTACATGTTTATGAGACAGAAAAAAAAAGACCAGCAATCCTACTAGAGCATAAAACATTTTGCAGCCTTCTCATTATGCTCATATGACAGAAGGGTAGTACCTCTCTGGATGGTGGCTCTATACCAACTTACCAAGAAAGCTGTCCGATTGGTATTCAGATAATCGGCAATTGCTTCCCAGTCAGGAACTTTTGGCCCAGAATTCAACACTACTTCCTAAAAATTAAAAGAGGTATAAACCAAATTAACATTAGAATCCTTATTAACAGTGTGGGTATCAACAATTAACTTTAAAAATATTTTATAATTATAGTGTTGAAACCTGGGTGTATACACATTACTGAATTGCCAGGTTATACACTGCTGGGTCTAGCCAGCAACTCACTCTCACTGAGAGAGAGAGAGAGAGAGAGAGAGAGAGGAGAGAGAGAGAGGAGAGCGAGAGCGAGAGAGCAAGAGTGAGAGAGCAAGAGCGAGAGAGCAAGAGCGAGAGAGCAAGAGCGAGAGAGCAAGAGCGAGAGAGCAAGAGCGAGAGAGCAAGAGCAAGAGAGCAAGAGTGTGAGTGTGAGAGTGTGAGTGTGAGAGTGTGAGTGTGAGAGTGTGAGTGTGAGAGTGTGAGTGTGAGAGTGTGAGTGTGAGAGTGTGAGTGTGAGAGTGTGAGTGTGAGAGTGTGAGAGAGTGTGAGAGTGTGAGAGAGTGTGAGAGTGTGAGAGAGTGTGAGAGAGTGTGAGAGAGTGTGAGAGAGTGTGAGAGAGTGTGAGAGTGTGTGTGAGAGTGTGTGTGAGAGTGTGTGTGAGAGTGTGTGTGAGAGTGTGTGAGAGTGTGTGTGAGAGTGTGTGAGAGTGTGTGTGAGAGTGTGTGAGAGTGTTGTGAGAGTGTGTGAGAGTGTGTGAGTGAGTGAGTGTGTGTGTGTGTGTGTGTGTGTGTGTGTGTGTGTGTGTGTGTGTGTGTGTGTGTGTGTGTGTGTGTGTGTGTGTGTGTGTGTGTGTGTGTGTGTGTGTGTGGCGCGCGCGCGCGCATGCGCATATACACACACTTTGAATACTACTTTATTCTTGGCTATGAAAAACTCAACAATCCATGGCTTTAACTTAGTTATTTGGTCAAATGTTAAATAATTAGTTTATGTTCACATGTTTCAACTACAGTAGGGCTCTGAATTACAATGATCAGACTTATGATAGTTCTCACTTACAATATTGGTACTCTAGAATCAATCCATTAGTTTCAAACAAAAACTAGCTCTTCCAAACAATGAACTACTTATACTAACATAGGCATGGAAGATGCGAATGGTGGAAGAAAGAATTTTAGGTTTCATCTTGAACAGCTGTGCATCATGACTAGAAAGTGCATAAATACTGACAGTGATACCCAGGTGCCATGGAAAACAAAATCTATGACCTTTAAAATGAAATTAGACATTATAAAGAATTCAGAAAAGAATGAGACACTGACTATCATTTGCCAATAACTTCAACCTCCAAGGTTTCAATAACTGAAAAGTACCCAGATTCTCCTCAAAGTATTACATCATTCTTTAGTTCTTCCTCTAATAAAGTCAACCTAAAATAAGCAAGAAATCTTCTTTCCAGTGAGCAAGACAGACTCAACATTCTTAGTAAATACACCGCACTACATTTAAAAAAAAATTGTACATATACTTTTAATTAAAATGTACATATTCTAGAAATATTTTGATGTGCAGTATTTGGAATTCAAAAGGTGTATCTAAGGTAAAAATATTGGGTAAATAATTTTTGGAAAACATTAATTAAAATTAGATCCAGAATATTACAACTCTGGTTATAATACAGGTGTCTATGGCCAAATAGGTCCTGCACTTCAAACTCAAGTTGTAAACAATTTCCAGATATGTATCAATGTCTTAAGTTGGAACCCTGTTTATTTTTTTATTAACAAATCTGCCATTTCCCACCAAGGCAGGGTGACCTGATAAAAGAAGAAACACTTTTATCACTCCATCACTGTCTTACCAGAGGCCTGCCTACACTGCAGTTAAAAAACTGCAACAATCAACACCCCTCCTTCAGAGTGTAGACACTGTACTTCCCATCTCCAGGATTCAAGTCCAACCAAACAGTTTCCTTGAATCCCTTCATAAATCTATGCTCACACTTTAACAGCACGTTAAGTCATAAGAACCATTCGTCTCCACTCGTTCCTAAATAACACACTCATGCATGCTTGCTGGAAGTCCAAGACTCTTGCATAAAAAACCTCCTTTACCCCCTCCCTCCAACCTTCTCTAGGATGACCCCTACCCTGCCTTTCTTCCACTACAAATTTATATGCCCTAAAAGTCATTCTACTTTGTTCCATCTACTTTAAATGTCCAAACCACCTCAACAACCCTTCCTCTGCATTATGGATAATACTTGCAGAAACCTCACACCTTCTAATCTCCAAGCTATGGATTCTCTGCATTATATTCACACCGCACACTGCCCTTAGACTCGACATCTCCACTGCCTCCAGCCTTCTCCTTGTTGCAACAATCACCACCCATGCTTTACACCCATATAAGAGGGCTGGTACCACTATACTTTCATACAATTCCCTTTCTGCTTCCATGGATGACGTTTTTTGTCTCCACAAACTCCTCAGTGCTCCACTCGCCTTTTTCCCACCAATTCTACGTTTCAACTCATTTTTCATAAACCGATCTGCTGACAAGTCCATTCCTAAATACCTGAATACATTTACTTCCTCATTACTCCCTCCTTCCAATCTGATATCCAATCTTTCATTACCTAAATTTTTTGTTATCTTCTCATCACTTTGCTCTTTCTTACATTCACTTTTAATTTCCTTCTTTTACATACCTTTCCAAACTCATTCACAAACCTCTGCAACTTCTCTTCACAATCTCCCAAAAGCAGTGTTATCAGCAAAAAAGCAACTGTGACAACTCCCACTTTGAGTTAAATTCTCTATTTCCTAATCCCACACTAACTGCCAACACCCAAACATTCACTTCTCTTAAAACCCTCATCTATAAATATACTGAACAACCATGGAGACATCACACATCCCTGTCTAAGGCTTACTTTTTACTGGAAAATAATCTCCCTCTCTCTCTTACATACTCTAACCTGAGCCTTATTTTTTTTTTTAACACAATCGTTTCTCACCAAGGCAGAGTGACCCCAATGAGAAAGAAAAACCCAAAAAGAAAAAACTTTCATCATTCAACACTTTCACCATCACTCATACATAATCACTGTCTTTGCAGAGGCGTTCGGATACAACAGTTTAGAGATCAGCTGAGGTCAGTGGTCAGTACGCTGAGGTCAGTGGTCACGTGTGGTCATACCTGCCTAAGCTCTTGGGAGTTAGCGTGGGCTGTTACCAAGCGCCATGGCTTCTTGTAGTATTTTAGAATCTCAGGTTCAAGTGTTGAAGAAGGAGATTCTACTTCTTCAGGAGGAAAATAGGAGGCTGAAGCTTCACATAGATGAGTTTGGGAGTGAGTGTGAGAAGGATTTAGCTGGTAAGGAGGAAATGGTCACCAGCAGTGATAGTGGCAGCCACTTTAAGTGGCAAGTGGTTCACAGTTCAGGAAGAAGGAAGATGAGAGTTAACAGAGAAGATGTGAAGGTAGGAAATCGATTCTCTGTTCTCTAAGAAGAGTGAGGCTGAAGGTACCACTGATTCCCCTGCTAATCAAGGTAAGAATATTTTAATAGTAGATGATTCTCAAGTAAGATATATGGACCATGCTTTTTGTAACAGAGACAGAAAGGTCAGACAGAGAGTGTGCCTTCCTGGAGCTGGTGTTGGTGACATAGTCAGCAGGTTGGATAATATTATGGCAGGTAATGGGAACAAGCCCATTATCTGTCTTAGTGCTGGGAGTAATGACATTGGGATGGACAGGAGAGAGGAGCTGCTGGATAAGTACAGGTCAGCCATAGAAGTTGTTAGGTCTAAGGGAGGGATCCCAGTCATATGTAGCATCTTGCCTAGAAAGGGAGTGGGCAATGAATGGATGTCTAGGGCAATTGGTATAAATTGCTGGCTAGACAGGTACTGCAAGGAACTTGCAATCCCATTCATTGATAACTGGGACCTATTCTTTGGCAAACATGATATGTATGCAAGGGATGGGGTTCATCTCTCTGGGGATGGAGTGGTTGCATTAGCCAATTCAATTGAAAGGGTAACTGATGACTTGTCTAGGAATTTAAACTGATAGATTATAGAGGTATGGGTGTTTGTGGGGAAACAATCAGGCTGCAGCATTTGGGTTAAAAACAGCAGTTATTACCGGGATACCACATGGATATGTTTAAAAGACAATATTCAAAATAATGTTGCTAGTAATGGCAAATGAACTGATCAACAAACAAAGAGATAGTAGAGGGCAACGAGTGACTAGCTCCCTTAAGGTTTACTATACAAATAGTAGGAGTCTAAGAAATAAGATAGACAAGCTAAGATTACTTGCAAGTGTAGGTAATATAGATATTATTGGTATAACAGAGACTTGGTTCAACCTGAAAGATAGAGAAATGCCTTCTGAATGCAACATACAGGGTTATAAACTATTCCACACAGGAAGGGTGGTGGAGTAGCAATGTACGTCAGAGAAAATTTAAATTGTTGTCTTAGACATATAAGATTAGAAACATCGAACACAGAATCTGTTTGGCTACAGTTTCTCGAGGGTCATGACAAATTAATTTTGGGTGTGATTTATAGGCCCCCAAACCTTGATAGGGAGTGCAGTAACCTGTTATGGGACGAAATTCATAAGGCATCTAGATATGAAAATGTTGTGATAATGGGAGATTTTAACTTTAGACAAATTGATTGGAACAATATGACAGGAAATCTTGAGTCTAGTGACTTTTTTGATACAGTTCAGGATTACTTTTTAGAACAGGTTGCGACAGAGCCAACTAGAGGAAACAATCCGCTTGACTTGGTTCTTGCCAACATAGAGTCATTAATTAATAATCTTGATGATCTTGGGGAAAGTGATCACAAATCACTTAGTTTCAATATATCATGGAATTACCCAGATAACTGCAATCAAATACCTGTCCCAGATTTTCGCTTGGCCGACTTCATGGGACTGAAAAATTACCTGGGTGGGATAAATTGGGATGTCCTGACTATGTGTCAGGTAGGTGATCTTGGTTGCCAATATGACGTTTTTCAGAGCATAGTTCTAGCTGCCCAGACAACTT